AAAATAAAATAAAATAAAAAAGGCTGTATTAACTTTCCCTGTATAACTTCAGTCTTTTCTTTTAAAGACTCTTATTTTCATTATGTGTATGCTGGGGGCGGTGGGAGATACATGTGCATTTTCAGCTTCCTGGAGTTACAGGCAGGAACAGAACTCTGTCCCCTGGAAAAGCAGCGTGGCCTCTCAAAAAGTCACCCATCCCTCCAGCACCTGCAAGCTTTCTACAAACTTGAAACTCATTCTTACTGTGCACACAGGCATGTGTGACTGCAGGCACAGGAGTACAACAGGCAGAAGACAACTCACAGGCGTCAGTTCTGTTCTTCCATGCGGGTTCCAGAGCTCAGTCAGGGGGTCAGGCCTGCCCAGCAAGCTGTTTTACCTGATAATCCACCTCACTGACATGACGGCACACTTTTCGGAGGTAACACTAGATGTCTCTTTTTTCCATGCCCCATCCAGATCCCTGTTCTACGTTATCTACTCTTAGCATGGGACAAGATCAACTACAATAAAGTGATATAAAATACTTTTGAGAAGGAAATTATTATATAATATTTAAAGAATAAAGTTCCTATTATAACTTTATGTTTTAGAGACAAAAAGACCTATAGCTCGGTAAGAGTAAAAGCCAAAAAAACAGGAAAATATCAATTTTTGTTTCAAGAATATGTACACCCAATTTGAAAGTTGTGACTTTTTTTTTTTTTTTGGTACATCAAAAGAATGTAAAGGCTTTCTTTAAAAATCTAGGAATAATACCGGGTGTGGTGGCGTATGCCTTTATTCCCAGCATTCGGTGGCAGAGGCAAAGGCAGGCGGATCTCTGTGAGTTCGAGGTCAGCCTGGTTCCAGGACAGCCAGGGCTGTTACACACTTAAACCCCTCCCTGATTCTGGGGAAAAATAGAATCCAAGAACAGACCAGGGATACGGCTCCATTAGTGAAGTATTTGGCACTGAATAAACCAAGGGTAGTGGTGAACACTTGGGAATTGAGGAATGAGGGATCAAAAGTTACAGCCATCCTTGACTATAGAGTTCCAGGCCATCCTGCGCTCCATGAGACCCTGTTGCAAAATGTGAGACACTCACCTATAGCAGCCCCACACAAAATCCCTAAAGGTTCAACAGGCATATTCAAGTCACAGCGCTGCAAAGGGACTAACGTGGATTTGAGGGCGGATCCTTACAGAGTATCTAGTCCAGTCCTCCACAGGTTAGACACAGGTTGTTTTTCAAGACAGGGTTTCTCTGTGTAGCACTGGCTGTCCTGGAACTCCCTCTGTAGACCAGGCTGGCCTCAAACTCAGAGAGATCCTCCTGCCTCTGCCTGGTATCAAAGGCGTGCACCACCACCGCCCGGCGACACTTGAGTTCTTTATGGATAACTATCTGCCCTTGCCTCCTTTGTCGTACCTCTCCAGCGTTTAATAAATGCATCTTTTGCATACCACTGACATTTAATATTAGTGACATTGCTACCAGCTCAGACGTGCAGGTGATTCGAGGCTAAATAAAGTCGCTTTCCATAATCACATTAGCAGAACTGGAATTTAACTCCTAACCCCGAAGTTTCTTCTCTTAGCTACCAGCACAAGAGAAGCTAACTCGTGGAACTTGTCTGCAGAGAAAGAGAACACCCAGTCATATTTGCCAGATGTGGAACACAAAACAAATCGCTGTAAAACGCTCCACGAACTCTTAAGGCTCTCTCGATGAAGACCTCATCTCCAGGGGACGTTTTTTAAAAATCACCTCAAAAATCATCACTGGTAGAAATGATCTCATTGACTGTTTGGGAAATGGGCAGACTGTGCCCCCAAGTGGTCAAAAGCGTCCTCGCTGGCACGGGTACAGCTGTGCCAGGCCAATCCAGCAGCCCTGCAGGCGCCGCCGCGCTTCCCGCCCCGCACATCAGCGCACGCGCCCTTCGGGCGTCTCCTGCCGCCGCCGCGGGGTGGCGCCACGTCCCCCCGCCGACGCTCCGCCCGCTCCTGCCCCTACCTTTGTCCAGCTCCATGAGAGCAGAGTTAGCGTCCAGCTCCTGCTCGCCGTAGCCGGCGTCAGCCAGAAAAGACTTGGTTGAGTTTGACGCCATGACCGGAAGAGTTGCCCGACTCGCCTCGTCACCAAGATCGCAAACTCTGCCCCGGCACCGCCATCTTCCCCCGCCGCGGTCTCGCGGATTTTTTTCCCCCTCCCCCTCCGCGCGCCGTCAGGCAGTGTACGCATGCGCCCCAGTCGCCCCGCGGTTCGCCAGCGCCTCGGTGGGGCCCCCCGCGCAGGCGCTCAGGGAGCTCCTGAACCCTGGGTTCCCGCGGCCGAGCGAGGAGGAGGCGGGGCCTCGGAGGGGGCGGGGGCTCCGAGGCGCCAGGACGCGGCGGCGAGAGCCAATCGGAGGGCGTGACGTCAGTTTGGCGCGGAGTTTGGCGGCCGGGGTTTCCAGTGGCGGGAGTTGGAGGCAAAAAACGGGTCGCGGTGCAGAGGCTGCCAGCGGCGGCTCGTGTGGGACTCGGGGGCGATCTTCTCGGCGTTTCCCTCGGCGGAGCCTTCTCCTCAGGGCCAGATGCTCTTCAACTCGGTGCTGCGCCAGCCGCAATTCGGCGTCCTGAGGAACGGTGAGTAACGGTCCCAACGGCCGCCGGCCGACCGCTCGCTCGGCGCGGCGGGAATCACCTCCCCCGGGCGCTCCCCCTTGGATCGCTGCCCACCTTGGGCCTCGAGGTCTCCCGCGGCGAGAGCGAGCCCGGGGGAGCGAGGGCCGCCGAAGAAGACGGTGTCCTGGTCCCCTGTGGACGTTCCTCACCGCGGGCGAGCTCGTTGAAATCGGTGCGGAGGCCGAAGTCAGGACGGTTTGGGTGATCGGGCCTCCCGGGCCCCCTGGCTGCTGACGTCAATTTCGCGCGCGTGCACGGGGCAGACGGGGGCGGGGGGCGCCCTGGGCCAGCGCCGTGCAGCGGTCCCTGCAGAGCCTGAGTGCTCCCTGCAAGTCCGATCAGGCTCCAGCTCGCATGGCCCCCTATTGGGGAACTCAGTCGAGCGGAGGAGACGCGACGTCTGCTTTTCCAGACCCAAAGTCCCCCCCCCCCCTCGTCCCATCTCTGCGAGGTACAAAAAGTTCTAAACTCCGGAATAAAAGATGCCCGTAGCCACACCCACGAGGTGACCCGGGGTAGCAGACTGAAGGGTATTGTCCCAGATGGGTTTTTTTTTGGTGCACGCGGTAGATCCAGAAATGGGATTAAATTTGTTTTTTTACTCCACGGTGGAATTCGGCCATATTCTCGTGTTAGCGCATAGAAAGCTCATTTCCTACAGTTCTTAAGGCAGTCGTACAGAACTTCAGCAATCAGACGCAATGTGTCCTTAAACTAAATCTTTGAAGTGGGCCTAAGAAAGCAATGTTGAGAAGATGAAAAGGTCCTTAACGTCCTGCTTCCATCAGAAACTTTTTATTCGTCCTTCTTCCCTGGACACCCCCGTAGTTAGGCTCTGCCTCTCTTTCTTCCTAGGACTTCGCGCAAGTGACTTTTCCCTGTGTTGGGAATGGCCGCCCTACACAATGGCTGTGAGCTGTCTTTAGAGTTTCAATGCCGCCTTCTTTTTATGTGACTAGGAAGGCTATTCAGACTTTCTTTGTGGTACATTTTCTCTGTCCACTTTTCTCCTCTTCACAAATACTCGTTCAGCAGTAGGCAGCAGAGTTGATGTGTTGTTACCTCCTCCTCCTCCATGCCGCTGTGCCACCACTGTCCCTTCAGCCTTCTCCCACACCTCGGGATTCTGCTGCAGCCCCCACGCTCACGTTCCCTGTATTTTAGATTAACTTTTTTAAAAACTGTGTGGGTTGATTTTTTTCAAACAAACATCTTAGTGCCCCAAACTGAGTTGGCTTTTCCCTAAAACCTGTTACCTACTTTGGGGAGTGATATTATTTTAAACTAATATCCCCAGCCAAAGCTTGGGAGTCACTCAAAGACTCCATTTTCCTTACTACTACATGTTCAAAGAGTTTCCCCTAAGCTTGCTTGAAACTCTCCTTTTCACCATCCACACATCCTGAGCCTGTCCCGTTTTCACCGTCCATTTTTTTAGACTGAACCTTGACACTTTGCTCTCTGTATTATAACAAGCCTCCAAAATGTGCTTTTATTTCCTTTCTCCACTTATGTTTGTAAAATGGAAATATGATTACTCTTGTGGATTTTAAATCACATCTAAAGGTTTTTAGTGTAATCTTAAACACAAAAAAGGTGTGATTTCTAATCTTATTTTGAATGTTAGCATCTTGAGATTTAAAATGCTCATAAACTTTAACTGCACCTGGTACTATAAAGAGCACAGCAACTTGGTGGTGTGTTCTAGTAAATGTGAACAGACTCTGACTACATGGTTGTATTTTCTTCTGAATTTATTTCTTCCACCCCCCCCCCCAATTTATCCTATTGTAATGTGTCCTTGAAAAGTTTTTTTTTTTTATGTGTGTGTGTTTGTTTTTGTTCTTCAAGAAACTTTGGAGCCTGTCCTGCAACTAGCTCTTGTAGACCAGGCTGGCCTTGAACTCAAGAGATCTGCCTGCCTCTGCCTCCCTAGTGTGTTCCACTACCTTGAAAAGTTCTTATCACCCTTTCATACCCCCATCAAAAAACCAGTAAAGTGCTTTTTTCTGTGGTTTTATTCCTAGTGAGTCCTGAATGTTTCCATTGGTATGAATTATCACCATAGATACTAACAGTAGGCAATTGTTAGAAGCTAAATAACGTTTTACGATGTTTTAAGCAAAAAGCAAAAATTTATTGAAAAACGCATCTTTTAAAGATATATGTCTTATATCGATTGTCTCATGATTAAGATGTCACTAATTGTTATTTAAAAATATGTCATGGACACTTAGAAGTCTATCTTGCGACAATGCAAGGTGTGTATGACGCAGATGTGAGACCACCTTCCTTTATAAGAACATAAGGGGAAGAGACAAAGGTGCCAGGAAAGGGAGTTCCCCACCCTCCCAGGTTTTGGAAATGATGCTGTGTGGAAGCTGTGGAATGTCAGGGTGGTGACCCTCTGGAAACAAGAGGCCTTATTTCTTGTATTTCTTGTATGGCCCTGTCAGCTTTCCATTGAGGAAGGAATGGGCTTTTCCAGATGAGTGTGGGGGCGGGGCAACACTACAGGTTCCTGTTTGTGGGGAGCTGCAGAGGGATGGCGGAAACTCAAGAGTCACTTTAGCCTCTTGTTGCTTGAACATTAGTGCAGGTAAAGAGGCAGATTTGATGGGTTAGCGTAATTGTGAAGTTCCAGAGCATATTGTAGCTGCCGTTTTACTTGGTTTCCTTTTGAATTTGTGTGTTGTAGCCATTAGACTCTAAAAATCCTACACTGCGTGCGTGTACATTTCTTTAGGAAAATTTCCAATTTACTCTTATTTTTTAAAGGTTTTTTTTAATATTTATTTATTTATTTATTATGTATACAATATCCTGTCTGTATGCCTAAAGGCCAGAAGAGGGCGCCAGACCTCTTTACAGATGGTTGTGAGCCACCATGTGGTTGCTGGGAATTGAACTCAGGACCTTCGGAAGAGCAGGCAACTCTCTTAACCACTGAGCCATCTCTCCAGCCCCCCAATTTACTCTTTTAGATAGGTATTTGTGTACCTAACATTCTTTTTGTGGTCTTTCACAAATTATTTACAATGATATTTGTTGTTAAAATTATGGAGCAATGTCCCCATAATTATTAAATCTAGTTTAAGTTCCTTTTCTACTTTCTGCTCATTCCTTCTCAGACTAGATTTGGCTGAGGTCCTGCTGGGCTAAGCTGTCTTCTCTGTGAGAAGAGTTCCCTCTCTCGTCACTTTATCATATCCTTCTGCTGTGCAAAGGAAGGCAGTCATATGTCCCCATCTTAGACCTTGCAGCATGTCTCAAGATCTACAATTTTCTGGGTGTCCATTACACATTTTTAAATAAAGAAAAATGTGAGAATTGGCAATGCCCTAAGATGGGAGTTTAGCATTTGCAGTGGTCTCAACTTCTCAGCTCCTTAGTTACTAATTACTTTTTGAATAAATGTTTCTCTTACTGATGCTGACCATGGAATGGGCGGTAGTGGTGCACACCTTTAATCTCTGCAGCACTCAGGAGGTACAGACATGTGCATCTCTGAGTTTGAGGACAGACATGAACTACACAAAGAAAACAAAATATCAAAGTTTTTGACTGCTAATACGTTCCAGAGCTTCAAGGGGCCCGAGCAGTAAAATCTATGCAAATCTGAAACATTTCTTGTCCTCAAGTATTTTGGATAAGAACATTCAACAGAGCCAACCCTGAGGACATGAATGCAGAAGAACCGGCCCTGCCCCTCACTCATTGCTGTCAGGGTGAACTAGCCAGGGCGATGCTGGAGAACTAACTTGGTGATGAGGACGGAGAAGTGGTCTGCTGGAGCAGTCTGCAGACCCAAAGCTCAGGATCTCCGCAATACAGGGCAACAGCAGGGTATCCAAGGCGTCTCAATGAGTGCCGAGCATCAGAGGCCTCAAACCAGACCAGTGACTCTTTACAGTGTACACTTACAAGTAAAGATATATGGACAAAAGGGTTTACTGTGTGACTCCCTGTGTCATACATACTGCGGCTTCCATGACAAGATTGTTAGGTTTTTTTCCTCTTTTTCTTTTAAATTTTGTTTTAATTTTGGGGAGCATTGCAGGGGCAAAGGGCAGATGCGAAGGGACGGAGAAATGAATGGAATCAAGATGCATGATGTGAAAGACAGATTGAATAAATAAAAAGGAAGTAAAAAGATAAACTAGTCAGAGAACAAAAGGAATATTCAACCTTTGTATACTTAAAATGAACCAACTTACATATTAATATAAACTAAATTTTGGATAATGACTTACTATTTTAGGATCGTGATGTACATTAGAAACTTGCTTTCTTTCTGAATGAAATGAAAATTTAAGTCATTTTCCAAAGCCTCCCTGACCTTGCTTCTTTTAAGTCATTCTCACATATATTAAGATACTATGAGTGGGTTCCTGTTAGAATTATAGGATTCTAGAATTCACTCTTAGGGAAAAAGAAGGTAAATTACTAGCGAATATAGTACTAACTACAGTAGGCAGGTTGATACAGTAACCCTGTGAATGTTGATTTATATGATTTCTATTTATTTGAGAGTTTCTCATTAGAGACTCAAAATGGACTTGTTGTGGAAGGAGTAACAGTTTAATTGTTAATGCTTTACAATTTAATTGGTAATGTTTTGGCTGTTTCTTTGCTACAAGTCAGGTCTCTTTAATGTACAAGGGCACTGGTGATAATCATAACTAATTTTCTACATTTAAGGTGATAAAACCAAACTGGTGGCCACACCTTTAATCCCAGCACTTGGGAGTCAGAGGCAGATGGATCTCTGTGAGTTCAAGACAAGCCGTAGGTTACATTATGAGTTCAAGGACAGCCAGAGCTCTGCGTAGTGAGACTCTGACTCAGAAAACCTGTACATACACACACACACACACACACACACACACACACACACACACTCTAACCTAATTGGCCTCCACAGAAGTTAGAGTTTGCTTTGATTAACCCCCCCTTTTTTTTCTTGGAGAGTCATAGATAGTGAGTGGATCTAAGTTAAATATGTAAAGTTCTATATGAACGAATATTTAGCCAAGTATGGTAGCTCATTTGAGAGGCAGAAACAGGATCATTGCAACTTCATGCCTCAAAAGACAGGCCACAGAACTAACAACACTTTTCTCCAGATTCGTGGGAAATGCTAAAACGTGTTTACATTTTCATTCTTACGGAGCTGTCTTGTTTTAGGGTCTTCACATCACCCTCTGCAGTCCCTTCTAAGTGGCTACCAGTGCAGCTGTAGTGACGAGCACACATCGTATGGAGAAACAGGGGCTCCTGTCCCTCCTTTTGGATGTGCTTTCTCTACAGGTAAGGGAGTGACTGCGCCAAACCGGAGCAGAACTTATTTTCCTACTTAGAGGGAAAATACACTTAGAAAAAAATAACTTTGATAGATATTAAAATTATTCTAAGTGTTCAACTGTGGTTTATATGGTAGAGGTTTTTAAAATGAAAGAGTTTTTCAGTCATCTTAAAAACCACAGAGAAACCCTGTCTCGAAAAACCAAAAAAAAAAAAAAAATGTGAGCAGAAATAGACATTCTTATCTCCAGTCTTATAGTTTAATATGGTTTATAAAAGGGAAACTCCACCAGCAGGCTTGATCAGCTGGTGGTCTGTGTCTTACTTTTCTTTGCCATTGGCCAGTACCACTCTTGATTTAGCTCTTTTTAAGTCAGAATATCTGGAGACAATTTTGATGGTTTTTTAGTTGTTTTTTGTTTGTTTGTTTTTAATGTGTGTGTATGTCTGTGCACCACAGAGGCCAGAAGAAGGCCTTGGATCCCTAGGAACTGGAGTTACACACAATTGTGACCTGCCATGTATATGTGGGACTCAAATCCCAGTTCACTGTAAGAGCAACAAATGCTCTTGACCTCTAAGCCATCTCTCCAACCCTGTTTTGAATCATTAAATACATTTGTGCTCATTTGGAAACTCGTCGTGTGTTCTTTTTTTCTATTCAGCTCCCGGTATGGAGCATATATTAGCAGTTGCCAATGAAGAAGGCTTCGTCAGGTTATATAACACAGAGTCACAAACTAGCAAAAAGACATGCTTCAAAGGTAAGTCTCTTAAGTTTTGACATTTTTAATTCATAAAGCCTTTGGTAAATTACTATTAATGTAGATGTAGTGAACTTAGGACACAGTATTAAGATGGTGGTCCGGCTTGGGTGGAATACATGCACATGTAAGATCAGTGAGCCATAAGTTCCTCCACAGGAGGAGGGGTGAGAACATGCACACCTTGAATGTCCGACTAAAGTTATTTCCTTGTTAGGACTTGAAGGTTTAGGCCTAGGGAGTATTTGAGAAGATTCAACTTTAGAGAATGCTTCTATTACTCAGACAGTTATTTATATCAGGGAGGGCTTTGAGTAAATGCATGCCATGTTTACTTGAGTTGGAGGCCAGAGGTTGGAGTTACATGTTTGCCTGTAGTAGTCTGCCCTTTTTTTTGAGACAAGGTCTTTCATTGAACTGGAGGTCATTAGTTTTATTATACTGTGTGGGTGCTGGGATCTGAACTCGGGCTTTACTACCTGAGCCCTCTCCCCAGTTTCAGTGGCTTTAGATGGCAGCTCTCACATGTATCGGGGAGATGTGTGATATCTATGACTCCATAATGCACTTTGGTCCATTGACAGTAGAGTACTAGCCACTGTCTTATCATTAACACTTGAAGGTGTTTAAACTTCTGTTGGTATCACTGTCATAGCACACAGTCTGGATATGTCACACTTATATTTTCTTTGTTTAGAATGGATGGCTCACTGGAATGCTGTCTTTGACTTGGCCTGGGTCCCTGGTGAATTTAAACTTGTAAGTGACTTTTATTAGGCCTGAGTAGATGCAGAGAAAAGACTTCTTTCTTCAACTTAACTCTATCATTTTTTGGAAGGTTACAGCAGCGGGTGATCAGACAGCCAAATTTTGGGATGTAAAAGCTGGTGAGTTGATGGGAACATGCAAAGGTCACCAGTGCAGCCTCAAGTCTGTAGCTTTTTCCAAGTTTCAAAAAGGTAGGTTGTTTATCATTTTATCTCCTTAAGGTGGGGAGACAGTGCCATAGTTCTTCCTGTCTTTGCCCTGTCAAAGTTGTTTATTTAATCTAGCTAGGGGTTGGGGATTTTAGTATAACTAAAAATCTTAATGAAGTTGGTTAAGGCCCATTAAATTTTTTTCATTTATTTTTTAATGTGTATGGATGTTTTGCCTGCATCTATGTCTCTGCACTGCATGTGTGCTGTGCCTGTGGAGACCGGAAGAGGGCTTGGATCCCCTGGAACTAGAGCTAAGAAGGTGCTGGGAATCAAACCCAAGTCCTCTGGAAAAGCAGCGCTCTTAACTTCTGAGCCCGCTCCAGCCCCTTGTTTCCATTCTTAGGCGTTTTCTCCTGCTTGTCCTAGGAAGTTAAAAAGTCTTAAAGCAATTTTGATTTTTTTTCCCCCTATGGCCAACTTTGAAGATGGATAAGATAGTATTATTGTTAAATATTTGAGTTTTTTGAGATAGGGTCTTACTATGTAGCCATGAAGACCTTACTATGTAAACAGCCTGGCCTGTAATTCCTTTGCTTCTGCCTCCTGCATACTGGTATTAAAGGCATATGCTATTGTGCTTGGCAAAATACCCTTTTTTTTTTTTTTAAGGAATATTTTCATTTATATTCAGGAATATTAAGCTGAGCTATTGAGTTGGGTTTGGGCAAAGTTAAATTTTTTGTATTATTTTCTTGAGACAGAGTCTCAGACTACCCAGAACCTTGTGATGCCCCCACCTCAGCCTGCCAAGTTAGTATTACAGGCATGCACCATTGCTCCCAGTTCACAAAGCTTCTTTATTCTGCTGTAGTTGCTATTAAGCTGAAATTCTGAAGAGTTGGTGTATGTCATGAGTTTCAGTAGCCACATAACTTTTCATTAACATGTAGTGTGAAGTTAAAAATCCCGTCTTCAGCCAGGCAGTGGTGGCGCATGCCTTTAATCCCAGCACTCAGGAGGCAGAGGCAGGTGGATCTCTGTGAGTTCAAGGGCAGCCTGGTCTACAGAGCAAGAAAGGGAAGCACCATATCTTTCAGTGCCTTTGCTTATTTTTTAAAAGTGTACATGTGAATAAGTGTATGCCAGTGTCATATAAAAGAAAAGACATTGGGTTGTACATGGAGCTAATGGGCTTCTCTCCTGACTGCTACTATATGAGTTAGCCTAGTTGGAAACTGCCCACAAGTTCCCGTAGTTTGGTCAGTGGAACAGGTTAGGTGGTAGCCTGCACATAATGACTTATAGCTAACATTTTTTTTTAGACTTTGCGATGTCATTTTGATAGGGTCTTCATTTCTTAATTCAGTTTGGTTAGTATTTCATATCATTTAATTAATGAAAGTAATTGTGAACATTAAAAGGTGAGGTGTGAACTCACTTTTTAAAACCTGGAAACTATAAATGCCCAGTAGAGATTTTGAATGGAATTTGTTTTGTTTTTTAAGTTTTATAGTAGTGTAGTAGAAAAGTTCCTTGGCCCAGTCATTCAATCTTAAATGAACAGGATGCAGGTGATCCTACCTGGACATGATGATACTAATGAAATTTGTCTCCCCTGGATGCTACCTTCTAAAGATTGGTAAATGAGACATATGTACACTTACTTTGTTTGGCCAGACAGAAGATAGCGTTAGAATTTCTGGTAGATAATTAAAATTAACTAAACTTATTACTAAGTCTTCTAAAAGTTTGTATATATTTGAACCTTTCTCATTTCTTTAGTTTGAAGCCAGTTCCTCACCCTAAGTCGGTGATTCTCAACCAGTGAACATTGGTTAGCTGAAGGTTTTTTTTTTTTTTTAAACATAATTTTTTTATTGAAAAAAAAAAGATTTCCGCCCCCTCCCCGCCTCCCATTTCTCTCCCCGTCTCCCTTTTCCCCCCTCCTCCCTCTCCTCTCCCCCTCCCCCCCACTCCTCTCCCCCTCCCTCTCCAGTCTGAGGGGCAGTCAGGGTTCCCTGCCCTGTGGAAAGTCCAAAGTCCTCCCCGCTCCATCCTGGTCTAGGAAGGTGGACATCCAAACTGGCTAGGCTCCCACAAAGCCAGAACATGAAGTAGGATCAAAACCCAGTGGCATTGTCCTTGGCTTCTCAGCAGCCCTCATTGTCCGCCATATTCAGAGAGTCCGGTTTTATCCCATGGTTTTTCAGGTTTTTTAAACATGCTAATTATTAAAGGGTAATCTCCTGGAAGTGAGCCAGGTGGTTTTTTTTTTTTTTAAGACCTCATCACGGATTTAGGACCTTGCACAGCTAAAGTTGAGGAATGTTTTTTAAAGCTTTTTAATTTAAACTTATTTTGAGAATTTCATCAATTATGAAATTCTCAAAATAAATGAGTACTACATTTATTACATCATTTCTACCCCTTCCCCTCCGACTCTTCCCATATAACTCCACCTTCTCAAATTTATGATCTTTTAAATTATTTTTGCATGCACATATGTGTATGTATTTGTCAGGTTTCTGTAGCTGTGTGGTCACTGCTGATCTTACAGTCAATTTCTGCTTGATTATAGGCAACCCTCCCGACAATTTTGTTTCTTGATTTCCTCATTATTAATCACGAGTATGATAAAACTTATAGCCATTTGGAGACAAGACCCAAAAGTAAAAAAAAAAAAAAAAAAAAAAAAAACTATAAATTTGAACTTTGGTTGACTAGGAAAGTGGGCCATATGTACAAACTGGCTATATGACCGCTTTGTGGTATGGTTAAGGAGTAGGCTTTATTCTACATAGGAGAGAGAACAGCCAGAGAGACTTCTGGAAGAGTCTAGAACAGAGAAAGTAGTAGACTCAACATGACCAGAGACACAAGAGCAGAGATAGAGGGAGAGGTGAAGTAAGAGGAGGGTGGACAGAGATAGCGTAGCTGAAATAGCAGGTATATAAGGAGAATGAGGAGCTGGGGGTGGGAGGAAACCCCTGCGCTGGGGAAGTTTAGGGTAGAGGAGGTAAGAAGAGCTAGAATGCTATCATGGACTGAAATGTATAAGAGGAGGCCAGCATGGGCTTTCGCATGCTAATAACACCACAGACAGCCATTAGTCCTTCCTGTTGGATTTGGGGGTAGGGGAGTTTCCTTTGGACCTGACAGTAGGTGCAGTACAACCTACTGAGTCCTTTGAGAGTTGCTTGTATTGTATATACATGTATTTAAGAATGACCACTGGGATTAAAAACTTATCAGGGGCTAGTCCATAGAGAAATTTATTTCCCTCTCTCTGCAACCATTGATTTCCTGTAGTCTTCATCTAAGAATGAAGTCTTGTGAAATTTCCTCTAACCCATGCTTCTTGTTGGCTGGTACTGTCCTGTGGTCCTTGATTAGGCAGCCACATTGTTGAGATTTCAAAGGTGCAGCAGCCATTATATCTTGAAGACGCTGTCTCAAAGCAGCTGTTGTGCTTGTCTGGCCCTTAGAGTCTTTGACACTCCAGCTCTGTCGTGTTCACTAGACTTGTGTGCAGGGCTATGCTATAGGTGTGCCCGTTGAAGTGGGCACACAGCATTTCAGATAGCTATGGTCTAAATAGTTTGCATCTGCTGCAAAAAGGAGCTGCTTTGATGAGGGCGGACACCACATTTACCTGGCTGGAAACTGTATCGCATACCTTAGAATTTGCTTATTTAAACAGTTTTTTAGTTTATTGAGAGCTGCACATTATTGATACAGGAGGGCAGTGACTCGTTTAGTTTGTCAACCTCAATCACGTCATCCAGAGACGCCACTGAGTCTGGAGACAGAAGTCTCCAGCCTCCTACTCCAGCAGCTCTTCCTGTGACAGAGCCCTCGCCACCTCCAAAGGAAGGCAGACTCATTTGCTGTGGTCTAGTCACTTGATTTAGTTAATTCCTACAAAATTATGTATTTTTGTTCATTATCTACAAAGCTCTCATGCTATTTTGGTACTTTGTTCAATTTATAGCTATTATAGTTGAGTCAGTTGGTTAAATGCTTACTTTCCCATATAAGAAGCAGAATTTCTTTTTGATTTTTTTATTTATACACACATTTTGCACCGAACCTAGGGTCTTGTGTATACTGGGTGAATACTATGCTACTGAAGCCATGCACCTAACTTTCACTTTTACTTAAGAAATAAAACCTTACAAATAGATGTCAGCTCTATGTTCTGTTCCATCCCAGTGTGTCCTTCCGTGCCCAGAGCGGTCCTTTTACAGATGGCATGATACTGCATATTCTCATGCTTGGACAGTACACTTGCCAAACTGGAGTATGGGCTTTACAGTCGTGCTGCCAAGAATACTTCTAGGAATTACCTTTTCTCTGCCCATTTCTCATCTGTAAAATAGGAAGAGTAATGCCCACCTACTAGATTGACAGAAAAAAATCAAGATAATGTGTGAAAAACATATAGCATAGTTTATATTACGTAAGGTAGTGAGCTCTCCTCTGTGTTAACAATTGCTTGGTCATTTTACTAGACGCTGTAGTGCCAAATACAGGACTTTTGGAGAAATTTAAATGGAAATATGTCTTTGACTAGTTTTGCCAACATCTTGATGAACTCTTTTTCCCACAGCCGTATTCTGTACAGGTGGGAGAGATGGCAACATTATGATCTGGGACACAAGGTGCAACAAAAAAGGTTAGTTTCTATTGGTTCTGATGAATGTGGTATCACTATGCTTAGTAACATAATAAGATGCTCACAATAGAATGGCAATGTCAGTGTTCTCATAGGACACCAGCAGGGGGCACTGTGTTCACAGTCCTAATGTTCTGCTAATTGCTCAAATCTCAAGATGATAATTATTACAAAGCTAGTAACTTACTTTTTTTGTTTTTGTTTTGTTTGTTTGTTTTGCTGTTGTTGCTTTTTTTTTTTGAGACGGGGTTTCCCTGTGTAACAGTTCTAGCTGTCCTGAAACTTGTGTTTTTAATCTTAATATTGTCTCTGAATTATAATTCAATTTGCCTAAATTATTGATAGAATTGAAACTACTAATGCATAGGTTCACTGGATAAAGGTTTGCTTAGGGTGTTTTGTTTGTTTTTAATTTTCATTTTGGGGCTGGCAAAACACCTCATCAAATAAAGGTGCTTGTCCTCAAAGCCTGACTACCTGAGTTGAGTTCTCCTATGGTAGAAGGAGAGAACAAAGTCCCTCAGGTTGTCCTCTGACACCATGCGATATTCCCCTCCCTCACCCTTCACTAAAAAATACATTTTCCCTTTTAGTTTTAAAGAAGTGGATGAAATTAAAGCGTGTATTGTGCTGTGGTGGTGTAAAGCATGTGGTCATTGATGTGCTTACTGCTAGTTTACATATTGATTTAAAAATATTAATAAGCTATTTTGTGGAGCAGTTTTTGCTTCATAGCAACATTGAAGTGCTCAACACCTGTACATACACAGCCTTCGCAGTATCAGCACCCTACATGCAGTTGGTCGTAGATTTTTCAGCTGGTAAATGTTTATTGACACTTGATCACCCCAAATCCATAATTTGCATTAGGGTCCATTCTTCATGTTATATATGATATGGATATTAACAAGTAGATGATATGTGTCTTCCATTATAATACATAGACTAGTTTATAATACATAAACTAAGTCTGTGCTCTGGTGTTCGTATCTGCTTCCTCACTAAGCCTTGCCTCCACTTTTGTTTTTTACCTGTCTCCGTGGTTTAATTAACTGTTTTATATTTTACTAGTTAACCAAATTTTTAAGATCCTGTGTAAAAATGTTCAAATGTTATGTTCTGTTTGAAATTAGAAAACATTAAAATCAATTTCCTTGGAACCTTTCAGATGGATTTTATAGACAAGTGAATCAGATCAGTGGAGCTCACAATACTACAGACAAGCAAACCCCTTCAAAACCCAAGAAGAAACAGAATTCAAAAGGACTTGCTCCTTCTGTGGTAAGGTTTAGAGAAGGATATATATAACTAGGGTTTATTGTTGTATATGCTTCAGCTGGCCTGGAATATGAGGTACATGGCTTCAGTAGCATAGCATTTCCCAGTACTGCTATGAATTAGCAACGAAAATAATGTTATGCTCACATGAGGAGAACTGTATTAAAGGGTCACAGCGTTAGGAAGGTTGGGGACCACTGCTCTAAAACAATGGTTAAAAAATGAAAACAAATTGAGTCATTGCTAACTACTTAAAATGAACATCTTAAGTAACTGCAAGATTTTTTCCCCAATCTTGAGGATGTAGGTTCAGTGCTTAATAAACCAGAGGAAGTGAGTGACTTGTCACCCGGGAGCGGGGGCTGTACCCTGGCTCTCAGAACTAACAAGCAGGCTGACTAACATTGATTCAGCCACCCAGAGCCAGTCCTTGGCATGCATGACGCCTTATTTCAGTCTTTGCTGGCATTCTTGCTCCCTGCAGAGTATGCAGGTCTCATGTCTCCCATTGTTCTGAGAATGGCCTGCAGCTCTCTTATTTACTCTGGGCTACCTGGGTCTTCCCAGTTCCCTGGATGTAGCCTAGGAAGAGTGACTCACAGTCACTCAGGAGCTGGTAGTGTTGGGGTGGGGGAACTGCCATGCTTTGGAAGATGACTGGTGCTTCTTACAGCATTGAGGGCAGCTACAGGCATGTGTGGGAAGTCAAGTTCAGCTTATAAGACCCCCCAGCCCCCTGCAGCAGCTTGGCTTTTTTGTCTTAGATGGCTCATACATGCCTGCAAATATGATCATCTTATAGCCTGACACTGTTACAAAGTATGAAGTAGACAGAAGCTCAAGCCATGCCCGTGGTACATCTTTTTTCTAGAAAAGGAGGTGGCCGTTGATTTCATTAATGCAGTTTTCTGATGTTCCTGGTACGTAAGGTCTGAATAAATACTTATCGAAAAGTGTAACTGCTATACTATTATGACTGAAGGCTGCATCCTTGATTGGATTGACTGCAAGAGAACTTGTGGGGCAGTGGCCCTTTGGAGATAAGGCTCTCCTAACCTGCACCTTCCCTGCACATGGAACAAATGGCTTGCACGGAGAGATCAGAGGAGCCAGTTCTCCTGTACCATGTGGATTCTGAGTATTGAACTCAGTTCTTCAGGCTTGGAAGCAGCTGCCTTTACCCATGAACCATCTTACCAACCTAGGGAACATGTGGGTGTGGTTTGTTTGGTGAAGGTTGTTTTTGTGGTTTTTGTTTTTTGAGACAGGATCTCTACATTGCCCTGGCTGTGTAGACAGGTGGGCCTCAAGCTCAAAAGATATCTGCCTGCCTCTGTCTCCCAATGGGATTAAAGGCATGTTTCCTTTTTTTGTTTTTGTTTTAATTATGACATCCTTTTTCCACTTCCTTTTACTTCCCCTACTCCTCCCTGATCTCCCTCAAAATCATGGCTTCCTTGTCTTTGTTATTGCTCCATATATATACACATACATACATACCTAAATATATTTAAGTATAACCTATTGGGTTTGTTTAGCGTTTGTGATTTCAGGGCTGTCTGCATGGTATTAATAACTGTGAAGAGGAGCCCTTCCTAGGAGAGACTTTCTCCTACGTTCAGCATTCCTTACTTGCCTGCGGTTCTTTGTCTATGTGTGGGGCCCTGTGAAATTTCCTCCTTCCATTTTAGCCTGTCTGGTAGTGTTGTGCTTGGGGTCTTCTTTAGGCAGTCATATTTATTGTAAAGGTATGCTTCACAGTGAGGCTTCCTGACATTTCTAGAAGACACAATCTCACAGCAGCTTCAGGGAGGCTAATTTTAAGTACCTTGTTCTCAAACTGGTGAAAGCTGTGATGACCAAAACAGAATTTCCTTCTTTTTCTCTCTTGTGCTATTAGGATTCCCAGCAGAGTGTTACTGTGGTCCTCTTCCAGGATGAGAACACATTAGTCTCAGCAGGAGCCGTGGATGGGTAAGAGACTATTTCTTCTTTTTCCCCAGTGCCTTTTGAGAGCTGCTGTAGTACCTAGTCTCATTAAACTGATTATATATGTGCCTTTCTTTCAACATTGTGGGTGCTGTAGTTGGGAAGAAGTTTACAGGTCACAGTAGAAAATAAACGACCAGAACTCCTCAAATAATTGTGGTAATTTGTGGGCTGTGCTTAGCACATAGGGACAATGTTTGCTGCTGGGGGGTGGTGAAAGCTTGCTTGTCTTTTAATGTACACTTAAGACCTGTCTCTATATGCTTATCTATGATCTCAATTTTGATGGCCAAGTAAGTCTGTAGTGCTTATTCATTTCTCTTCTGCCAAGTCCTGTAGAAAACAGGTTATTTATGTGCGGGAACTCTTTAAAGTGTACCTCTTTGCCAATTATATTTCCAAATGCATTATTATATTCCAGGTTGGTTTTATTTGGTTTTGGGTTTTTTCTAGACAGGGTTTCTCTGTAGCCTTAACTGACTGTCCTGTCACTCGTTTTGTAGACTAGGCTGACTTTGAACTAATAGATCTGCCTGCTTTGCCTCCTGAGTGCTGGGATTAAAGGTGTGCACCGCCACCTGGTTCTTTCAAGATTTTGATTTAAAATGTCTTACTAATTAATACTTCTATTATTTCTTGTGGTCATTAAAATCCTTACATGAACCAAGTTCTTAAGCAAGAATGGGGAGTTACCTAAAGTTACCTCTGTGTCTGTGAATTAATATGAAAGTTTGCTGTTTATTTCTAAAGATGCTGCCGTTTTATGACAAGTGTATAATTTCTGATTACCCACAAAATAGGAATAAGGATGAAGACAGTTACCCCAGTGGGTGAAATGAAAAGCATTTTCCCCTTTCACAGGAAAAAGTGTTTAGTTAAGGAGTTATGTGCAGAAAGAGGGCATAGGAGTATGCACCCTGCATTTCAGGGGATATGTGCAGAGTGTTAAAGACTTAGGAAGTTTTTTTTCTAGAAGAACAATGAAACAGCGACAATCGGCATCTAACTCCATTTTCCTTTTCCCACTACCCTGGAGTAAGTGCCAATGACTCATCACTGGGTCAGATCACATCTGTTTCCGTTTTGTGCAAGCTGTGAGCTTGACGTTGCAAACAATAGCATGAGACAGTTAAGTTGAATTACCAGTGAGATGTCCTCCGTGCAGCTGGGCAGTGTGCCCAAGAAGACAGATTAAAAGTCATTTCACACTCACATAAATAAAATTGTTGGAATAGGTTTATACCGGTGGTTCTTAACCTGTGTGTTGTGAGTCCTTTGGGGGTCAAATGACCTTTCACGGGGTCATCTAAGACCATCTGCATGTCAGATATTTATATCATGATTCATACCATTAGCAAGATTACAGTCGTGAAGTAGCAGCGAAATCGTTGTATGATTGGTGGCATCACATGAGGAACTGTTGCAGCATTAGGAAGATTGAGAATCACTGGTCTAGATAATCTGTAAGATACTTATCTTGGTTTTTAGGATAATCAAGGTATGGGATTTACGCAAGAATTATACTAATCGGCAAGAACCCCTAGCGTCCAAGTCTTTCTTGTACCCAGGTACCAGCACTCGAAAACTAGGTGAGCCTTTGCTTTGTAGGTTTTGGGGGGTAAATGTGAATTTCAATTAAAAAAAAATTGTTTTAATACCAAGCTAATTTTCAGCAAAGACTTAAGAAACGAAATATATGGTTGTGAGATAAAAATCTCAATATAGTTTTGATTTCTGTATGCTTTAGAAATAATTATCCTGGGGCTGGAGAGATGGCTTAGTGGTTAAGAGCACTATCTGCTCTTCCAGAGGTCCTGAGTTCAATTCCCAGCAACCACATGGTGGCTCCAAACCATCTGTAAAGAGATCTGGTGCCCTCCTCTGGCATGTGGGTATAAATGGAGGCAGAAGGTTGTATACATAATAAATAAATCTT